GTCCCAAGCTATTTCACTCACCCCTGCATGTTCTGCATGAATCCACACACCCCTGATGTTATCTGTCAAACTTTCATAGCGAATCAAAACAAACATAGTGTAGTAATAGAATTTCAACTAGAATAGGGTACGTTAATCGTTTGCTTGGGACCAATAGGCTACTAAAGTGGTGAGCCAATTTAAAATCGTTAGTTTCGTATTGATTGTTGCTACTAGTCTTAGAGTTACCTCTATGGTAGAACTGGCAATCTATTCTCATATGAATTTCTGCTTTGTTTATGTTTACATTCGGCAAGCGATGGAGCTTACCACTATAAATAATGGACCATATGGAGAGACTCCACAGGGTCCTAGAAATTTCTTTAATTGTTGAGGTGATCTTAACCTCGATCTTGACCTGGCTATTTAGATCACATGCCTTTTCATTACCTTCTGCTCCACAATAACCTGACACCCAGTAAAGATTTACTGTCTCGTTATTATGCGGACTGAATGCATTCCCATACTAGTTTTTAAGCTAGGTAGGGGAAATTACGGCTTCGGCATGACAGACTATTTACGGCAACCCAAATTGCAACACTAAATTCAGTGGATTTGATTACGAAAACACTTCGCTGAATGCATTCAAACGATTCTTTAGGCTTTCAGCTTCAATTTGATTATATTTTTGACACTGAGAAAAAGCAATCTAGCAGGGTTTTCTTGAAATGAAACACACGCACTACAAAATACTGCTGATTGCAAGTTGCCGCTGAACGCACAGCTGTTTAACAAGCAGCTCAAATAGAATGGTTGCCGAATAAAAAGATGTTGCCCACAATCCACAGTGGTTCCTGGCCGGCCAAAACCTCAAAAATCAAAGTTGGTATTTTTTTATTTCAATATTTTTTTATCATTTTTACATGTTTAGAGTATCTTAAATTGAATGATTGGTGCAGTTCTGTTGATTACATATTTTTTTATGGTTGTTATAGTGTAGCGATATCACAAATTTTTGAAAAAAATCGTAATGTTTCTTGATACTGTTTTGCTCAAATATAGCAAAAAATTATGTGTTTATCAACTTGGTTGCCTCAGAAGAAATGTTCCTCGGCTTATTTAACGTCAAATGGATGGTAAAAAAGAGTGTCTGCACTGTTTTTAGTGACAGTTTCAAATAAAAATTTAGCAAAAATGTACTTTTTTCACATTTAGACTAAGCGAAACATATGACGGACACATCCGCCCACTATCCTATAGTAACCAAAAGATAGCTAGAAAAGTTAGCTTTCAGATAGGCTCTAACGTGTTTTGCGATTTTTTGCGAAAGATGATGAAATTAGGAATAACAAGTAAAGTGTTCTTTAGAAAATATCCGTTTCTTAGTTTTATAACCTGCGGTGTATACGGTAGCAAGCTTCACAATGCCTTTTTCAAGGCACATCAACACGCACACACATACACACCCGCACCATATATATAACTCTTATGTTTCATGAGTTATGATTTTTTTAAACAAGCAGGTTAGGGTGACCCCTAGACAATCGGCATTCTTTAAAAATCTTTTTATACGTTCATTTCTCGTGAAATTTTATACTAGACATAAGAACCTTTTATGACGCATTTTTTGCTGAGGTGTTATCTCTTTTATTTGAAAAGATATGGCTAGTTTTTGTTGAAAAATATTACTTTTTTTTAAATTAAATTAAATGCTTTAAACACAAAAATGAAGAAAAAATGATGTTTTCAATAAACTTTAATGTTTGAAAATCGGTTTGCCCAATATTGAGTTATTGACAATTGAAAAGAGCCATTTCTTCGAAGAAAATAGCCTTCAACTTTCTAATCAAAAAAGATAGTAACCTAGTTGCTTGAGCAAAACTATGCGTCATCAAAAGTTCTAAATTGATAAGAACAATGTTTCACGAGAAATTAACGCATTAAAAGATATTCAAAGAAAACCGATTTTAGTGGCCACGCTAACCTGTTTGTTTAAAAAATCATAACTTATTAACCATAAGAGATAAAAATGTTGTGTCTTGAACAAAGTTGTTTTGAATTGAATGTTCTACAACTGTTTACAACACTGCTTTGGTCTATCTCAAATAATAAAAAAGTTTGAATTTTAAATTTACCAATTTTATGGACCACCCTAATTTTACGAACATAAAAAGATTGAACAAAAAATATGAAGCAACTTTCCCTAAGAAACCATACACCTAAAACTGACGGTTTGGGCGCAAACATTTTTGTTTTCCTATATACGGCTTTGGGACCATTGTGCATTGGTTTTGGTTCTACTATACTCCTTTTTGTGACGTCTTGATTGTCAAGTTTTCTTCGTACAGCTAATAAACATTTATTTCAACTGTTTTTTGCCTGTTTGCAACAATTTTGAGGTTTTGGCCAACTTTTGTTCTAAGGGGAACCACTGTGCAATCGTCGCTCTCACTAGAGAAGATTGACAAATCCATGTTTCAATCGACCACCGTGACGCTGCAATCGCAGCGGTGATAAGTTCGAAATAATGTGTCAAACTGAATACATTTTTGAAATTTCAACCAAAAAACTATTATTTTTTATTTATTCTAGCGAGTTTCTGTGGAAGTCAAAACATGATCGGAGCAAAAAAGTAGTACTCGTAATAATGGTACATAATGCTGAATTTTATCGTGCTTTGTTTCGAAAATATCTTCCAAATAAACAAACATCATCCAAATCACCCGAATCGTCCACCGACTAAATCTATTGTCATTTAAAAATTAATTTCAGTCGGTGTATTAATCAGCAGATTAAATCGTTTTTCGTCTGGTGCTACACCGAGCAATCGGCCTATTTAATAGTTTTTCGTCGATTGATTTAGTCGGCCAACTTTGTCTGTTGTTTAATCGGCAGATGATTTCAAACCTTAACATGTTTTCAGTAATTTATAAGTCTTGAAGTAGCTTTTTATTTAAGAACAATGCATTACAAAATAGTGTTATGGATTTTGTACAAGATTCATCCATGCTGACAAGAAATTTTCATGAAATTACATTGAAATTAAATAATTTTGCAAACAATCAATGAAATTTTCAAGGGCTGTCACAGACTTATCACCGTCGGTTAGTGCTTATTCCTGCCACCAGGCGCGCATGAGTTTAAGTTGGATTTCTCAATTGGAGCTTTGCAAAAGCGTTTCAAAACAGTTTTGGGCACTGCTTTCGACTGAAATTGTTAGAGCAGCTGGCAGCAAAAGATTGTAAACAAACCAATACTGCATATGTGTGCGTTCGTTAGAGAAAAAGGCTATAGAAAGATGTCGCTGCTTATGTTGCCGAGAATACGTAGCCCCCTACTTTATCTGCTGCTTGCTATTCTATCCATTCAATCGACAGAATAGCTTAAAACGGGTTTTGTAAAAGCACGTTTTTACAACGCTCCAAACTTCTCAGGTGAGTGCAACTATTGTCGGCAGCCTCTTTTTCTTCGGCAACCTACACTCAAAAAATTTATCACATATCTAATGGATGTAATTTATGCGAATTTCACATAGCTTTCTTGTGATCACATAGCTGCAAATCCCATTCCAAAATCACATGAATAATATGTGGTCGATGACATTCATATGAAAAATCATATTAAATTAATGTGATCGCATAAATGCTATGTGAAATTCAGATGAGCTCCATTAATTTTGATTATGGATGAAAATCATGTGCGTTTCCAATGAAAGCTACATGAAAACTATTTTCGGTGTATCCATTTGAGCTGCGAGTTAACCAGCTAAGGAAGCCTTAGCGTGAAACTTTAAAGGCACAAATGTCAGCTTCCACAAAATATACAAACTTGAAATTGCTACTCATTGGTTGCTGCGCTACAACAAACAGAGAGTAGCAATTACAGAGCTGTATGTTTTGTGGAAGCTGACAGTTGTGCTTTAGCAGTTTCAAGCTAAGGCTTCCTTAGAGTATCAAAGACTAAGGAAATTTTGGTTGAAAGACTAAGGAAATTTTGGTTTCCGCAGACAGTTAATGGGTGCCGAAGCCATCATTTACCCTTTATATATTTTCTCTTTCAACACACTGTGTGGCTTGTGGTTCAGCCAGGTTCTCATGCTCTTTGAAAAGCACCTCAACAGTTAATACTTGAGTGTATTCTATGCCAACCAATCCATGAATGTGTTTATTTTTTATGACAAGCACAATGATTCTCTATGCCCCCAGGGAAATTGCTAGATAGAGCTAGACTTAGGGCGTAACAGCTTTTGTAAACAGTGACTTCTCTCGATGATTTCTACGAATTCAAAGCACGGCCATGCAAACCAACATAACCATCGGGTAGGGGATCTCTTCCTACACCCGATGGAAATGTTGATTTGCGTGGGCGAGCCTTGACTTTCTAAAAAATCATCGAGAGAAGTCATTGTTTACAAAAGCTGTAACGCCCTAATTTCAGCTCCATCTAGATTGAGAATGTTTCTAACCCGAAAGACTTTCTAGACCGGACCGCTTGCTACTACCGTGCTAACTAGGATATCTGAGATCCGGTTCGTCCGTATCGGACCATTTAGAGGTGATTTACTCGCATTACGGTCTAGGTTCTCGCCGCATCTCTTGTCACTTCACTTTATTTTCACCGTGAACTGACACTCGTTATAAGCCCCACTTTGACCAGTCCATCCCGCAGCTGGCGTTTCGTAGCCTAAATAATAATCCTAGTGGCTAATATCACTACGCAGCACGTTTAGGTTTTCCTTCGTTGGACATTGCGAGCAGCAGCATTTCGTGAGCCATTAAATTAAGAAGAAAATAAAATAAACCAAGGCGAAATCATCCCTCAAAAGAAAACCAAGAGACGCAACATGAAAGGTGGATGGATCGAATCAACAGAACGGAGGAGCAACAAAACCGAGAGAACTCAGAGCAACCCAAAAAAAAAACTAAACAGTGAGGATTTTTTTTTTGACTCAACTGGTGGTAGTGGTGGTGATCACAAAATCGAACTTTCATAGATGGTTTGATTCATAGATGACAGCGAAATCTCTTAACATTTTTTCCTTTATTTACTTTTTTTCTAGCTGATTAAAATATCTAATAGCTAAAAATTGTAGCAGTTACTATGTGTGTCTGTGTGTTGTTTTTTTCTTCATTTTGTTGTAGTTAAATATTACTTGCCACGAATTTCTCACCTAACTTTTTTCGTGTGTGTGTGTTTTTTTATTCTGCTTTACTTTTTACTTGCTTAATAGCGACAACGATATTTTCCAATTGGGTGTTTTTTTTTCTTCTGTTTATTCTAATTACAACTTTCGGCTAGTTTTCTTTTTTTTATTACCACAAGTTTCGCAAACGCATACGCGTTCGTTTCTCTTTCTCACCGTTTTTTTTTTTTAAATAATCAATGAAGATCTACCTTTTCCATCTCGTATTGTTTTTTTTTGTGATTTTTCTCTGCATTTCTTTTAGATTCAAATTTAAATTACTTATGCATTAATATATATACTTTCTTTATGCTACAAAAAACAAGTTTCTTCCATTTGTTTTTTTTTTCTTCATTGATTTCTCTGTATTTCCTTTTATTTAAAATAATTTATTGTTTGATTATTATAATGATGCTCTCTTGCGTAGGTTATTTTCTGTTTACTGTTCATTCTCTAGCAGACACGGCTGATTGGAGAGACCTTGTTTTCTTTTCTTCTGCGTGTATGTGTGTGTGTGTGTGTTGTTTCTTTATGTTTCATTTTTCAAATTTTCAAAGATTAGAAGAAGTTTGAATAATGCTGTTTTGTATTTTTCATGGTATTTTTTTCTGTTTTCTCTTGGTTGTTGGTTGTTGTCTTATAATTTTACAATGCGCGTTCTCTCTCTCTCTCTCTCAAGACTGCTCTCGCTATTTGTAATTATAGTGGTACTTGTGTATTTTTCTTTCATTCTTTATTCTTGAGTGTGAGTGTGTCCTTTAGTAGCTAAATTTTCCTTCACTTCGTTAATAGTAATATAAACAAATTTTCCACACTACTACACAAGTAATATACGTACAACGCTCGCCTCGCTTTCACCAGTTTCTCGTTTCACTTTATTCATTGAAATAATAGAAATCGATGCACGTACACAATGTTTTTCTTCTCTAAAAAAAAATCGCACGCGTTTCGCGAGCAACTTCTTCTAACGCATATGTTATGCTTTTTGTATAATTTCGGGAGGCGTAACACTTTGATTTTTCCTCCCGTGATTTATATATTTATATTAAACATTATACACTTTCCACTTCCTCAAATATACCTTTTCAAATGAAAGAAGAAACTGGACACCCCAGCAGGATACATGCTGGGGCTGTATATACGGCTGCGGACAAAAAAACGACACAGAAAAGAAAAACGTAAAATACAGAAAAACAAGGTAAGAACGAACGAAGAACCAATAAAAGAGGTCTACTAAAAACGAGAAAAACACACACGCGGGAACCGCCTTCGCCAAATAGAAGACTTCCGCGCGACGACTTGTTTTTGTTTTGTTTGTTTACTTAGCTCACACATTTGTAACGCTTTCCGCATCCGTGCACGGTCGGTTTGTTACTTTTCACGATTTCTCTCGGCTTAGGATTATAATTAATATTTTTCTTTTTTTTTTCTTCCTTAGTTTGCACAACAGTCACAAGAGAACGAAAAACGGAACTTGCTTTTGTTTTAATAACTATAACTAGCAAATTGAAACTACTTTTTTTTTCTTCTTCTGCTTTCTTCTCATTCAGAACGTATAAGTCTATGTGTGTGTGTGTGTGTTTTTTTTTGCTGTGACTGACTTTTGATCCTCTAGATAGATTGGTGTGTGAGAGTGTGGGTGTGTGTCTGTGTTTGTTAATTTTTAAGTTAGAATAATATTGGTTTGAAATATTTTTTTGTGTGTTAATTTTTATCGGTCTCTGAATGTTTCTCTCTTTTAAGGTAAGTTTGTGATTTACTTGGTTAGGACCTCGCGCGTATTCCGGCTATGCGCAAGGTAGTCGTCTATTAGTGTTATTTGTTTTCTGTTTTTTTCTTTTATATTAGTAATTCTTCTATGTGTAATTTATGTGTAATTCTGTTTTTGAATTTTGTGTTTAACCTTGCTAGCAATTTTATTAAACTTATGCTTTACGATTTTGCCGTATTTTCATCTCTTGTTGGTTTTCTTCTATTTTTTTTTTATTTCCATCCTCGCATTAAATTAATATTTTTAAAATTAAAAAAAAATATATATAATATAATATTTTATGTGTAAGAATTAAAGCTAACCCATCGTAGAAGTTGCCGCTGACGCTATAGCTCCTTGACTGGAACTACTGTCGACGCCGGGTACGGACTGTGATGACGTAATATCCTCCACACCGCCGACGGATTGCGCCCCAGCCCCCGCTCCCTGGCTGCTGCCACTGGCACCGCCGCCCTGCACCTGAGTGCCGTCGGGCCCGGCGCCACTATTGCTACTGCCTCCGCCGCTGTTGTTGTTGCTGCTGTTGCTACCGCCGACGGAGCCTGTGCTGCTGTTGGCGCCGGCACCGTTGCCACCGCTGCCACTGTTGCCGCCGTCCGTCGAGCTGGACGATTGGCCCGCTTTCGCGTCGTTCGGGTTTCGTGGCCTCAGTATCAGGTTCAGGCTCGGTTGAATCGCTAGCTCTGCAAAACGGGACAGAGAAGGTGAACATTGATTAGCTTAGAGATAAAATGGAGAGATCGTTTTTAAATAAATGAATTTCAGTAATGCAAAGGTTGCGTAAACTGTTATAGAGACCATTTCAGAGCTGGTAGCGATCAATGCTGTCAAAAATAGTAAATTTAGTGACCATATTGAAGAAATAAGTGACCAAATAGTGACTTATAGCTGTAAATACAGGGTGCGTGACGAATTTTTGCAGTAAATGGCATATTTGAGAAAAATACACCAGTTAGTTATTCTAGCAATGAATTTTGTGCGATTTATTTTCTTTCGCAACATATGGAAGTTGTAAGTAAACTTATTCAATTGCCTTCCCTTTCGACGACTGTAGTTAGACGCTTCCGGAAACTGCAGTATGCACGTTTTGAAATGTTTCGATCCATAGATGTCATCACTACCTTGATTTTAGCTTTTAGCGACTTAAGTGTGGTGTGAGGGGTTCTGTTGGTATCCCGTTGGACGACGCCCTATACAAAATAATCCAACGGATTGATATCGGGACTGCTTGGAGGCCAAATTTCTTCCTCCCAAATTTACGAAATATTTTCCGTAAGCCATTTCTGTGCTTTATTAGCAGTATGAGCAGGTGCTCCGTCTTATCACTTTCCCAAGCCTTTTTTAATATTATACACTGTTCTTTCAGACACATTTACCGACCGAATTATTTCTTTCATGCATACTCCGGCGCGCAACAAAGCGACAACGGCTGACAGATTGCTCTCTTGTTTCAACATCTATACGTTTACTCAACATTGTTTGTTTAAATCTTACACCTAACAGTATAAGCTATCCAGTGCTGCCAAATATATCTAAATCATGATGCACAAGCATGAGAAATTACTATTTAAAATTTACTGCAAAAATTCGTCACGCACCCTGTAAGTGACTAAAAACTGACCTAAGGGAAGAAAATTAGTCTTTCTGATTGCACCAAATAAATGTTTGATGTTTTAGACTTACTCAATTAGACACACATAAATATGGACGATAGGAACCTTTAAAGTGAAAGAATCAATAGAAAGTTTATGACCAAACCTCCAAGCTTCTACTACCTTACTATTTCTCAGGAAATTTTATAATTTTCTTACTAAGAATGCATTTTAAAATAATAACATTTCATAATCCTAGTTATATTCATTCACACATTGAACTTAATAGATCCAGAATGGATTAATCTTCAGTAACAAATACATATTTAAAATTCAGAGGCTTCAAATGTTTTTTTTTTTGGTTCTTTGGTTCCCACAAATTTTATAAATTCTGAACTGAAAAGTTATAATACTTCCAAGAAATTTTCAAGAATCTGGAGTCAAATTCCACAATTTTCAGGCTCATGGAATTTTTTTTTATCATTTCTAAGGACCTCAATTCCACGGGAGTTCTGCGAAAAAAATCTATGGAGAAAAACATCAACTGCAATCTGCTTTCATGGTACTTCTGAGGAATTTTAGACTTCATGTGAAGCCTAAGCCTAAGATAGTGAACTCCAAGCGAATTTTCATGAAAAATCTCCGTTGAATATGGAAAGGACTATTCTGAGGTCTTCAGAACTACGTGAAAGTTCCCAAAATATCCCTGATATTAATTAAATTATCCTTGAAGTCCTTTTGTAGTTTGAGAAACTAACCTGATGCTCGCAATACTTCTCATCATTTTTTTTTTAACTTCTCCAAACTTTTTCGGACTTCATAAAGTTTCCACAATTTTCCTAACGATCATGAATCTTCTCTCAAGTGTTAACAATTCACTGAATTTCTCGAAACTTTTTTAAAATTTTTGTAATTTCCCTGCTTTGGAATATCTCTGCTCTGAGGATATCTGTTCTTTTTTGAGGTTTTTTTTGCTTAGAGCTTTATTAGCGAGATCAATTTGCGAGATTATCGAAGTTCTCAAAGCTTCTGTAAAGTGTTTGCAGTCCTCATGAAGCTCGCTGTACTACCATGTACTAATTTAATTAGACTGTTCTAAAAATGTTTAAGCTTGCATGACACTCATGTGAAAACCTCGATAATTTTCTTAACATTTTTAAAGTTCTCCCAAAATCAGGGAACTTCTTTAAATTTCCCGCTAATTTAGTGAAACTAAGGTAACTGAACTCCCCTGAAATTCCCTTTGTTTTAGAAGCTTTACTAAACTTATTTCAGATGCTCCCGAAATGTCCATAATAGTTCCTGAAGTTCTCGGATCTTCCCTTAATTTCCATAGACTTTTATGAAGTTCTCGAAATATTTCTGATGATCTCTGTACTTCTGTGAAGTTTTCGAAGTTATTCTGAAATTTCAGGAACTTCTCTGGGCTTCCGCTCCGCAGCGAAATAATTAATATAGTTCTATGATTTTCACTGAAGTTCTCAAGATTTGTCTGAAGTTCAAATTATCGAAACTAATTCATAGCTTCTTCAATAATCTACAGTTTCCTGATGTTTTTAAAACTGCCCAATATATTTCTCAATTTCTTTAAAATTTTCTAGACTACCCTGCCTTAGTATGTTTTCTAAAAGAACCCACCATTTTACTAGAATTGATTGAATTGTTTATAAACGCTCACTAAACTTTGCCTTAAATCACTAATTTTCCCTGCAACAACTTTTCTATGCTTACCTTAATTTCTCTAAATTGATCAAATGATTCCGTCTCGCACGCTGAGCCGGTCAAGTCGCATCGGTCTCGTTGTACGACACTAGTTTTTGAGTTTTTGAGTTTTTCCCCACGCGAGGGTTTTTTCTCGCCAAAGTTAGTTGGCATAGTGTTAAGACAACTAGTGCGCGAGTGAGGAAGCCGTTAATCATACGCCGAGCGCTTTGATTACGGTCCAGCTTTAACATCAACATCTGTAAAATCATCACCACTATCGGCCCATTGATAGCAACAACGAAAGCACGTTAAATTGCCTACCGAGGCGAAAGAGGCATACCAGCTGCAAGGCTATCGACCCAACAGCCGTTGGGGAATACAATAGCATCGCACCAGTCATCTGCCGCCTCAGTGCAATAGGTATAACGTGTCGCTTTGTTTTCACCAGTATCGCATCTTCCCGCATGGTCCAGTATTAGATTAGGCTGGGTCATAATTAGGGTGATCCAAAATCTTGTAAATAGTATATATCTATAATTTTTTTTTCTTGTTTTTTTTTTCTCGTTCTATTTTTAAGTAGAGTATAGTTAGGGTGATCCAAATTTTTTTTTTTCAGTATATATATATATTTTTTTTTCTATTTTTTTTTCTTGGTTTTTTTTTGTTTTTTTTTCATATTACTCTTTAGTAGAGTAAAACTATATCAATTTTTTTTTTGTTTATTTTTGCATTTTTGTTTTTCTATTTTTGATATTATTTGAAATTACTGTAATTATTTGTAAAATATTTACCAAAAACACCATTGCGGCGATATTTAACCGCAATGGATGAAAATGATAAAGGCGGGGGATGGTCGCTTTCCATCTCAGACGACGAAACTCTTAATTCCACCTCACACGAAAGTCTCGAGGAAGTTGTGGAAATGGAAACCCTTGACGTTCCAGTTGACTCACTCTCCAGCAAAAATACTGGAGCATATCCCAAGAAAAGATATCGCCCACAACCCTCTCCCCCACCATCTCCTCCTCGTCCACCTGCACCCCCCACACCATTGCCCCCGAAAACCTCTGCGCTCCCCCGCCTAAAGGCTTACCCAGAAGCCTCGAAAGGCCCATGGGTTGTTTTTTTCCGGCCCAAACAAAAACCTTTGAACATTCCGAGGATCTCTAAGGATCTAACAACACATTTTTCGGCCGTTACCGATATTTTAAAGGTAACACCAATAAAACTGCGCGTTACCGTTGATGACCGGAAGCAGGCTAACCAAATTGTTGCGTGCGAGCTTTTTTCATTGGAATACCGAGTCTACATACCCAGTAGTGAGGTAGAAATTGAAGGAGTGGTCACCGAAGCGAGTTTGACTAGTGATGATTTCTTGGGTCCCGATTCCTTCGGAATCTTTAAAAACCGTGCCCTGCCGAAGGTGAAGATATTGGACTGCCTTCAAATGCAGTCAGTATCCGTAGTAGGCTCCAAAAAAACGTATTCCTTGTCAAACTCGTTTCGTGTGACCTTTTCGGGTTCAGCGTTACCTCACTACGTCGCTATTGGCAAGGTTCGGCTGCCTGTACGTCTGTTTGTACCTCGGGTAATGAACTGCTCGAAATGTAAACAACTTGGTCATACATCGGACTACTGCTCGAACAAACCACGCTGCGATCAGTGTGGCGAGCAACATCAAGAGGGCTCTTGCGGTGCTCCTCCTAAATGCGTGTACTGCAAGGAAAGCCTACATACCCTGACTGACTGCCCGAGGTATAAACAGCAGGGAGAAAAACTTAAGCGGTCTCTGCAAGCTCGCTCCAAGAGAACTCTAGCAGAACTCTTGAAGAATACCGCTTCATCTTCTCAGACCACACCAAAAAGCAGTAACACGTTCTCCATTTTGCCAGTTGATGATCTAGACTCTGACTCAGAGGTCGGTGAGGGTAGTCCGTTTGTCTTTAAAGGCAATACGAGAAAACGAGCAAAACAACACACCACCGAAAAGCCTCGTAAGGCCACTCGTACGGACCACCCTTCCACCTTGGAAAAATCAAGAGGTAACGGAAATGCACCGAAGCCCATTCCACCGGGTTTTCAACCTTGTAATTATGACAAGAACTTTCCGTCACTTCCAGGATCGTCTAAAACCCCAGATGTCCCAGTTTTTCGGCCAGAAAAGCAGCTGAATAATCAGCAAGAACATGTCCCCATGTTCACGTTTTCTGGTATTGTGGATAGCTTCTTCAGTATATTCAATGTCTCTGACTCAACGAGGAGCATTATTAATTTAGTGCTGCCAATGGTGAAAACTCTTTTGAAGCAACTAGCTTCTAGGTGGTCCTTCCTTGCATCGATCATATCCTTTGATGGATAATTCTCCGAATGAGGTCGGGGATATGATC